GAGGGGGGCTGCGCCGCGCCGGGAGGCACAGCAGTGAAACAGGCTGCGAAGCGCTTCAAAGGCTGGGAACAGCAGAGAACTGACCGACCGGCGGCGGCTTCCCCGGGGTGGCTGGATGGCACTGGCACGGGGCCTCCCCTCGCGTGTGAGCCATTAAACAGTCTGGCTACATTATTTAAAGGTAGGTTGTGCGCAGCTTTTAGGGTGTACCAGAAGTCAAAGAATGTTTGTTTTCTCCTCCCGTCTGCTTCCAACGTGGTTCTGCTGAGGGTCCCCAGCCTTGTTCCAGCTACCTGGTATCAGGGAGGCTGAGGGTGGTGGGATCTGCTGCCTCCTGCCCTTCGCAAGCCGCCTGTGGGTGTGTTGCTGCCTGCAACAGCAGGCACACAGGGACGGCACACAGGAGGTGCAGACCCATCCTGTTCCCCTTCAGTGGGGTATCCCTGCAGCTTTGCAAAGAGCTGGTTGGCTCTGTGCATGTGCCTCCCTCAGGGCTTTTGCACAAGTTTTTATATCTTTAAAAAAGGATCAGCATCTTATTGGGATGGTGTGAGGACAGAATGCGTTGAAGACCTTAGACAAAGGGATGTAGTGTCTCCAGAATGGATAAAGCCACCAGCAATCCAGGCTGACACTGCTTGGAGCTGGAGGTTGGACTGGAGACCTCCTGAGGCACCTTCCAATGTTAGTTGTCCTATGCAGGGTGATGCTGTTGGGATCACTCCACTGCTGGTGGCTGTGAGCAGGGGTCCATTTGGGTGCAATAATTGCTAGATTGGCCAGCAAAGGCGGCAGAAAAATTAGTACTGCTGTCCCTGGCTGTGCAGGTTGTTTCTGCAACCTGCTGCAGGGCTTGCTGGGCCCCCTGGCACTGCCTGGCAGCTTCAGCCCTGTGTCCTTTTGAGCAGTGGGGCTGTGTGTGGGTGCTCCTCCTTGCTCAGAGGTCTGCCTGTCCTCAGAAAGAGCAGCCACTTGGCCAAGCCTGTTGTGAGGACCCCCCTACTCACAAAGGTGTGGCATGAAACCAGAGTGGGTTTTCTGACCTCTTACTTTTCCATTTAAAAGGAGTTGGGGTGATGGGTTTGTAAGAGTTTCAGTGTTCCTGGCCCAACACCCTTGGTGTGTTTGCAGCAGCAGAAGGTGAAGGGCATCTTGCTGCCTTATAGCTGAGAGAGAGGATTCTTTCAGGTCTTCACTCCACGTGGGTGTCATGTCCCCTTCTCAGCCCCTTCAGAAAATCCCAGTCGTGCTGCTTAACTCGCACGTTGGGCTGTGCTTCCCCAGGGGCTGTGGGTAGCCTCTGGACAGCAAACCTTGCTAAGGCCAATTTGGCCTGGCCACCAGCATCCTGCCCCAGGGGACTCTGGCAGGACTGAAGAGTCCAGACCTTGGGAAGAATGCAGTAACTGTCCCACTGTCCTCACAGGCAGAGGTTCCTCTTTCAGCCTTGTCCACAGTGAGCCAGTAACTGTTGGGCTGTGGTCTCTTCTGCCTTCCAGCAGTGTGTGTGCTGGTTTTGAGACCTGTTTGCAAGGTGGTTTCTGTTTGCTTTCCAGCCCATTGTGGTTCAGAGTCCTCTGTTTATTCCTGCAGCATCCTGCCACCATGGTCCCCCTCACTGATGTGTGAAGACATGCTGATCAGTGTCCAGGGGAATCACTGCTGCTTTTCTGCAGAGCAAATGGGAACAGTTTGATGAAACTTGTCAAACCTATTGATCCTCTTGCTAATTTCTCCATGTTCCTTCTGCTGACATGTCAACATGGAGTATTGTTAGCAATTTGAAAAGCTGTTGGGAGGATGCAAGGTCAGGTGGTGTTCAATACCCCTCTGAAAATCAAGTGTGTGCCAGGGGGGTCATCTTCTGCAGCCTTTCTCAGGCTCATCAGTTCTCTTGCACAGCATCTTTGTCCTAGATCTGTCCATGCTGCTCACTGCTCTACCCCCAAACCTGTGTTCACCAAGTGCTACAGCAGTTCCTCCTGCTGTTGCCTCTTGTTTTCCCCCTCTCCCTTCTTGGAGTAGGGAGGAGGCAAAAGGGCCTGGTGCCTGTTCTGGTTGCCCCACTGGCTTTGGGAAGCCCTGGCTGTGGTTCAGCTCTCGGTGGCTGGCACTAGAACGTTGCCTGGGGCCAGGGCGGCCGGCAGCGCTGCGGGAGGGGAGCCTCCAGAGGTCGGCCTTGGACCGCGGCGATTGCTCCTTCCTGCTCTTCCTCTGAGCTCTCTTACATCTGATTGGTGTTGCTAGCAGCAACACCAGCCTCAAGAAATACGTATGTTCAGATACAACTGTCTGTGAAGCTGCTGCTCCCTCCAAACCCTGCGAGATTGGAGGTTTGCATCTGAGAAAAAAGCTTTTTCAGTTTGTCTGTATAGACAGGAGATAACTTCCCTGTTACCTGGATTCAGAGGATCATAGGCATTTGAAAAACTTAAATTGTCTAATAGGGCTATTGTCCTTTTTTCCAGCTTCAAAAATCCACCTTCTTAGGCTTAAGGTGTCTAGAAAATATTGGCCAAGTCGAAGCCTGGAGTGTTTTATTTAGATTTATAAAGTTTTCTGAAAACTTCTCTTACTGAGCTTCTGGGAGGTTTAGGGAAAAGCCCCTCAGCTCAGGGAGCTCTTGCTGAGCAGCTGCTGGGAGCCCAGCAGGACCATCCCTCCCACCTTGTGCCTGGCTGGACTTTTTCAACTTTAGAGCCATGCTCTGGTGTGGATATTTAGATTGGAGAGTACGAAAAAATTTTAATTGGATATTGGTAAAAAATTATCTACTGAAAGAGTTATCATGCCCTGGCACAAGCTGCCCAGGGAAGTGGTGGATGCACCATCTCTGGAGGCGTTTAGAAAACACATAGATGTGGCACTTCAGGCCAAGGTTTAGTTGGCATGGTGGTGTTGGTTTGACAGTTGGACTTGATGATCTTAGAGGTCTTTTCCAATCTTAATGATCCTGTGACTGTATGGGTACAAGTATGAGAGGTTGGGCCATTGGATCTTTAGGTGTCAAGGCAAGCCTGGACCCCTGTGTTGGTGAGGCCTTGGAAGGGGTGCTGGGGGAAGGTGGTGCAGAACCAGTGGCTCTACCTGATGGAGCTGGTGGTTGCCTCTTTGTCTGTGCAAGCCCGTCGGGTCAGGACCCCCAGAGGTGATGGGAGAAGGGAAGTGCTCCTCTGGCTGGGACCAAAACATGCCCTCCATCGAGGAGGGGTTCCTGAGGCAGGTGGGAAGTGAGGTTGGCCTCCATGGGGCTCCAGCTGCAGGGCGACCCACAGGGCCCAGCCGGGGCGTGTCTGGCCCCAGCACGTCCCGGGGGCAGTGCTCTAAGGCCCTGCGGGTGCTGAGCACTTGTGACACTGTTCAAGCTTATTCCACCAAAACGGCAAAGGTTCATGGGCTTGTGATCCAGCAGGTGCTGGACATCAGGCTACAAATGTCTGTGTGTCTGTCCTGCCCGCACAGGATGGCATCGTGCGGAAGGACACCCATGCCACGTGGCACTGTTCCATGGTGCAGCTCACAAACACACTGAGCTAGGTGGGACTTGAGAGGAAGGGTTCTGGTGCAGTCTGCTCCTAGTTTGTACTTATCTCTTCTCTTTTATGCTGTTTTTCATCCTGTTCCTGGCAATGCTGAAGAAGCGCCGCTTCTATTCATTGTCCAGTAATCTGGGGAAGGAAAGCCTTCCCAGGCTAAGCAAGGGGACCAGGCTGCAGAGAGAAGCACTGCTGACTAACTGGTTTAAAGCACATGTAGCCATTTTCTCTGCTACTGTCCTCACCAAAGAAGCCCAAACCTGAACCTTCTCCTTTCTGTGGAGCTGTAAGCTTCCCTTGGTGAAAGCTGTTCTACATGGTGTGGAGGCAGATCTTGCTGTGCTCTATTGTCCCCTGCTTAGGTAAGGTTCAGTCCACATGCTAGATCCCTGTGGCTTCCAGGATTTCATTTCCCATATGCCAGTTATACTGCACATGCAGAGGTACATGGTGCTCTGCTGGGCTAGTAATTTTAAAAAAAACAAAAGACAACTCATCCAGATCTCTTGTGGTTATTTTTTCCCTTCCAAATCCATGGGAGCTGCACTTGATGCAAAGGAGAGATGCAGTTTTCCTGTAAGGATCCCCTCTCCAAGCTTCATGTTGTCTGGAAGAATCTATGTGGACGTGAAGCACAGTTCAGAGCAGCCTGGCAGGGCAAGCTGCACTCCAGTGCTTATTGGTAGCTACTGGGTGACCCAGGCTGAGGTTTCTTCTTGAATCTGCTCTGGACGGGGCTGCTCGCAGGGCTTTCTTCCCACAAATGTATGCAGCATCACCCTCTGGAGAAATAAACTTTGGAGATGGATTGCTAAACCTGTAAATCATTTTGTAGCTCATAACTGGAACCATCCCATTAGAAGCTTAATGTATTCTACATATTAGCAGCGGGCATGGGTGCTAAAGAAACTAATTCATGGGGCTGGAAGGAGCATTGCAGTTTTACTGATCTAGCACTGGGGAAGAGTAGAGGGCTTAATTAGCAAAAGTGCCTTTTAAATTGAGATAAATTTGATGGGAAGTGAGCTGCTTAATTTAAAAAAGTAAGTCCTCAGACCCTGGGATTCAGCCATAGTGCTTGTGGAGAAAAATGAATTTGTGTTGGCTCCTGGCTCCAGCCCTGGCCTCCCTGAGCTCTGTGGAGAACTGCCTGCATCTGAGTAGCCAAATCACCCTGCCCCTCAGCAGAGCAGAGGGTGGCTCTGCACTGGTGTGTGCTGTAATTACCAAACTCTCCTCTGGTCCTGTTCTCCCACCGAGGCAGCGTGTCATGCTGGAGACCCCTTGGTGACTGGTGGCTGGCTAATGGCTCCCTTTGTTTGCCCCTGTATACTCATATTCATTTTTTCCCTCATCCCACTCTCATTTGATCTTGCTATTGCTCTGACACTTTTCTGTTTGCTTATTTGGGCCTCTGACATGAGGCTTGAGTCGCTTGTGTTCACTCTAGTGTATTTGGAAGTCTTGCACTGGGTGTCCATGCAGTGTGCTGGGCTGTAAGCTCCTGCTGGAGTCCTCCCTCTTTGGAGCAATGATCAAAGCCTTGGAAACGGTGACATCCAGGACAATAGGAGCCAAATGAACGTACATGGGTTTTCCTGGGATCTTTTTCCCCCTCTCAAGGGAGCTGTGGGCTCCTCTTGTTTCCTCTCCAGTGACACTTGTGCTCTCTGCCCGGTTTTTCTTCCAGGTGCGCAATGGCCACATCAAGCGGATCACAGACAATGACATCCAGTCACTGGTGCTGGAGATTGAAGGAACTAATGTCAGGTAGGAGAAAATGCCTTCTGCCCTAGTGTGCCCTGGGGGCTTGACCCTGGAGCAGAGTGAAAAACGTCAGTGCCCAGCAGATGATTCTACCACCATCTCTTTGTCAATAAATTTAATAATATGTTCTGGGGTCAGGTCACTGATACTCCTCTGAGGCACTGTACTGTGCCTTTTCCTGGTCATGCTTGTAGAGCCTCTGTCATCCTCTGTGTGGCCAAAGGACAAAAAAGTAAAAATCAAGTCCTGTTATTTTTCCATCACTTGGGGAAAAAAGCTGTATTTGATGCCAGGTCTGCAGTTGGTGCCATTGAGAAAGTAGCACTCTGCATTCTGCATCTCCTGTTGCCTTAGGCCTACCCTGCTCTCCCCATGTGACAGCCTCTCTTGGCAGCCAGAAGATCAAAGGGAGATTTACAAGGGGAGTTGCTTATGGTCCTTCACGGAGCAACCTTGTCTCCATCAATTGGGGTGAGAGACGGCCAGCTCCCTGAGCGGGTTCAGAGTCTCCAAGGCTTTTCCAGGGGTGATTCAGAGCAGGACGCTCCTTATAAGGGCAATGAAGACTCCTCTCCTGCAGACAGGCTGAGCCAACACTTCTCTTCCTCCCAAGATGTGTTGATACAGAACTTGCCAGGCGTGACGTGTATTTCTAGGGCTCATGACCTCTGTTTTCCCAGCCATATAGAGCACACAGGGCCTCTGCTGTGCTCTGCAGGGCTCAACCTTTTCAGTCAAGGATAAGAGCAGGTTGTGTTAAGAAACAGTGCTGACATGGCCTTGAAAATGGGGAGGTGAAGCTGTCCAGGAAGGTGTTAAATGCCCTGGGTGAGGAAAGTGGGATTTCAAATGGGCCTTTTATCTTATTCTCCCTGCAGCTAACTGTGCAACTCTCCCTTCCATTACAGGAAGCCCTGGTTGTTGCTGAGATCTTACGATCACAGCTGTCTTTTTCTGCTGCTCCTCCAAGGCTGCGTTAGGTCAAGGGAGAGACTTGGACTCGGGCTGTTTGCTTTGTGCCATGTGAGATCCTAAAGCATTTTTCTGTCCTTCTCAGTACCACGTACATCACATGCCCTGCTGACCCAAAGAAGACTCTGGGCATCAAACTACCTTTCCTAGTGATGATCATCAAGAACCTGAAGAAATACTTCACTTTTGAAGTTCAGGTGAGGATCAACCAGTTTTGCTTTCTTGGCCATTGTGATGTTTCAGATTTTCTGCTGTGGGGGCATCAGTCAGCTCAGGCACAATCATTGCTACTCCTGAAGATGGGTTTGTTTCCTGTGTTAAAAATACTCCTGCTGTGAAATGGAGAGGTTGAGAGTAGGAAAGGCCTTTCTCAGAGACAGAGTCTGATTTTAGAGCAGCTGCTATCTCAGGGGTCCCTGACTGCCCTCCTTGCCCCAGGTGCTGGATGACAAGAACGTTCGCCGGCGTTTCCGTGCAAGTAACTACCAGAGCACGACGCGGGTGAAGCCCTTCATCTGCACCATGCCCATGCGCCTGGACGACGGCTGGAACCAGATCCAGTTCAACCTGTCAGACTTCACCCGTCGGGCATACGGGACAAATTACATCGAGACCCTGAGAGTTCAGGTGAGGAGCAGGTGTATCCTGCCCCAGAAGGCAGTGGTTTGCAGTCTTCTGCTGGCTGGGATGGCCCTGCTGCAGCTCCTTGTGGAGTTGGGTGGGCAGTCACCTGCAAAATGTCTGCTTTCTCATACTCCTGAGGGGATTCGAGTGGCTCCCTGGCTGCCAGCTGATAATGGAGGCAGCATGGACTGGACAATCTAATTCCTGACCTCAGGGTGGCCCTGAAGAGTGTTAAAAATCCAGCAAGCTAAGGCTGAGAGTGTTCCAGCAACTGCTGGTAGCAGTGAAGAACCAGAAGTGGGTTCACAGCAAAGAACCCTCCAGACAATTGAGGCAGATCTCAATTTGCATAGATGCCAGAGTGTGGCCAAATCTCCTGAGCCAGCTTGCATTGCTGGAGAGAGCATCTAGCACAAAGCAGAGGGCATGGGCCAACATTTCTGCTCTGATGCCCTGTCAGACTGGGAGAGAGACAGTGAGGTCTCTTCTCCAGCTGCTGAGCTAAGGAATCCAAGTTGCTGCATAACAGCAAAGCTGTTTTGTTTTGACTCTCAGATCCACGCCAACTGTCGCATCCGACGGGTCTATTTCTCTGATCGGCTCTACTCAGAGGATGAGCTCCCAGCTGAGTTCAAGCTGTATTTGCCTGTCCAGAACAAGGCCAAGGTGAGCTGGCTGTGGGCAAGGAGGGGCAAGCAGCTGCTGGGCCAGGCTGGCATTCCACATCTCCTCTCACTGCCTTCACAATCCAAAGTTTATTCTAGCTTAGGCCATCAGCCAGGGAGCCCCCCTGCTGCTGCCGGTGTGAGCAGGCTGTCGGGGTGCCTTGCTGAATTGCTTTCTTGCCAAAACACACGGAAATTGTCATTCCCATCTAGGATCAGGGTGAGCTGTGCATTTGCTCCCCACATCCTTCCTGTTGGTGTTGAAGGCAGTGTAGCAGCCTCCTGGCATCTCTCTGGGGCTTTCGCCCATGACTCAGCACAGTGGCTCTGCTGTTCTGACCTAGCTGCAGCTCCACATGTGTCTTCCAGGAAAGATGCTGTTTGTGTCCCCTGAGCCCAAATTTACTCCCCTCTGATCTCCTCCCTGCCCAGTGATCTTCTTGCTGCTTACCTGCCCAGTGGTGTTGGGAGGTGGTTGGGTATAGGCAAGGCTGTGGCTGCCTAGCAGAAGGAGATGCCAAGCTCTGCTCTCACAGTGATGGGAGCAGAGTCCCAGGCATATTGTCAGTAGTCTAGAGGCTTGTGAGGAAGCACCTCCTTTTCCAGGGCCCAGTGCAGATGCTTCTTTTAGCAGGGAACATTCCTGTGCAAAATTTTGAGGAGCTGACAGAGGATTTTGGGTGCTGATATCAGTGAGGGGTAGAAGGCAGTGTTAACAGTAGGTGACACCTCTGGGGTTCCCTCACTGCCCTCTGGGCTGTAGCAGCCTCTGGGGGTGTTCAGGAGAGTGCTTGGGGCCCTACCAGTACAGTTTGTCTTGGTGCTGCCAAGTCTAATATGTTTCCTTTTTTTTCCCCCTGCTCTGTCCAGCAATAATTCCATATTGGGAAGAGGTGGAAGAAGAGGGGATTCAGCAGAACTTACGGTGTTAAGTGTGCACTCTTGAAGATACCAATTTTATTTTTTTCTTTCCCTGTTTTCCATCTCTTATTTTATATATGATCTAAATATGGATGTAATACTCACTCTTGGAAAGTTATTAAACATTTGATTCTATAAGTCTGCTCCTGGTTTCTTCCTCTTTTGGTGAGTCCTTTAAGTTGTATGTGCTAGTGCTTCAGAAAGTGCTGAGAAATTTCTAAATGTTAGGATTTGCCTCTCAATTGGACTTTGGCAGCCTTGCTGTTGAAGGGATAGCACAGATGTGAACAACAGTGATCTGGAGAGGGGAGATATAGTAAGGTTTTCATAGAGGAGACAACAGGATCTGTCTCTAGTCCATGAGGTTTGTGACACTCTACCTATGGCAAGAACTCAGGCTGTTCACCTTTAGTACATGAAAGTGGCTTTTTCATTCCCTTCTTCCTTGAAGCTGTTTCCCAGCAGTGACAAATCGCTCTTACCTTGCCTATTAGGGCACAACTCCTGTGTAGTTAAACGACTCATTCCAGCACTCATTCCACCATTCAACCAAGCCTTTAGCAGCTACTTATAGCAAGAGGCACACAATAGTCTTCCAGCTGCCAAGTTATCCCTTTCCCCAGGGATCAAAGGGGAGGTTTAGTAAAGCAGTATAACAGGAGCAGAAGTCTTTTCCTGTGCAGGAGCTGCCCTTCCCTGCCTTTGTTGTGGAAAGGCTTGTGGAGGGGCTGCCACAGACCTGTGCCCTTAAGGGAGAGTCTGGGAGCAGCTGATGCCTCCCTGGGGCCAAGCTCCTACAGCCAAACTGGTGGGCAGGTACCTAAGGCAGCTGCTGGGTTCTGATCCTTCCCTGGGCTGGGCAGTGAATTGGGAAGACTTTATTTATTATTCCGTGAAGCAATGCTGGTTTCTCGAAGAAGGAGGGGTGCCTCTTTGGGGACATCTGCCCAAAGTCTGGGTTTAATTGTGACCTCTGGCACTCTGCTTGGTTTAAGGGTTTCATGTGTCTGTGCACCCTTACAGGCAGCAGCTTCACACTTTATCCCTGTGGCCAGCTCTCAAGACACCAGTGTAGCTGCCATATTTGCACCTTTAAAGCTGGTGAGATTTGATCTGGAGGTATTGACCCCATGCTGCCACGTGGTGCTGGGCTGCACTTGTGGAACTCTTTCTGGAGAATACCTTTCCAGTTTGTGTAGCTTGGTAGTTCCAAGGAGCAAAGCCAAGAAAACCCACTTGGGAAGGCACCATCCATCTTGTTTTGACATCTATCAAGGCTTGGCTGGACTTGAGATCGGTTAAGTGGACTCAGTACTGTGTGCCAAGGAGCAGCCTTCATTAAGTCCATGGCAAGGCTTTGATGTCATCTTTGCAAAGCTTGCCAGGGCTGGGGGATCCACCAGCCACCGGCTGGGTAAAGGCTGCAGCCTTTCCCACAAGCTCACGTTCATGTGTTTTTTTGTGGCAGTTGGTGGCCAAGCACTCACCAGGAGCCTGGCCCTGGCAGGGCCCTGGCTGGAGTCATCCCTTGTCCTGGAGGAGCTGGGCTGGCTCCAAGTAAGTGACCTTAATGCATTAAGAGAGACTGGGCCCCCCAGAGCCCCAAGCTGGCTGCCTCTGCAGAGAGATTAGATGGGCCCTTCTGCCAGTTCCTGCCCAGTGTCTAGGAGCTGTGCCAGCAGATTTGCTGGAATAAACGCCTAGCTGCAAACCCTTACATCCATGTAGACCCTGTGTATTTTTTCAAATGAAAAAAAAAAAGATACTGAACCTTCCTGTTTACATGTTGCACAAAGTGGAGCATCATCAGATATCGGCCCTTTCCTTTAGAGCCCAATGCTGGCAGATTTACATGATGTCCTTCGAAAATCTTCTTCTTCTAATCCCCCCTCCCATCAAAACTTTAACCATCTTGCTGAAGGTGAGGGAAGTTTGGGTGCTCTCCCTGCCAGATAAGAGGATGCTGCTGGAGGATGGGCCAAAACGTTGCAGGCAGCCTTGTCAGCAGGCCCTTCCTGGAGTAAATGTGCTCTAGAAGCCTCCTGTGCTGCAGCTCCCAGCTTCTTACTGCTTTGGTTATGACTCTAGACCCATTTGGGACACAACGTCCTCCTACACAGAAAGAATGGAGCAAGGCATGAAAGACATGGGTGCAGAGATGGGAGCCTGCTCTGAGGATGGCTGCTCCTGGGGATTCTCAGCTTGGTGTGGGGGGGAGCAGAGGGGGAGTCCTGGTTCAATGCAGGCAGCCTGAGGAGAAAAGGCCTTTATATCTCCTCATTCACCTTCTTATGGGTGGCCTGCTTCTTCCTTCCTACTTAAGTTCTTCTTGCATTTCACGTCTATTGGGAGAGAAAGGAATTTTTGTGGGGATGCCCTGGATTCAACCTGGGACAGAGCATGGTCTGTCCAAAGATGTGTTTTCCTAGTCCCTGCCAGCTTTTCACCTTCTTCTTCCATTGGTAGGGGCAAGGTCCTGCATGTGAGCACTTGGATCAGGAGCTGGGTGCTGGGAGTCTGCTTTCCACATCAGAGCCAGAGCATCCCTTTGAAATCTCAGTGCTGAAGGGTAGCAAGCACAGAGGCTGTGGCATCGGGGAAGACAGGACGGGAGAGTGACCCTCCTGGGGCTGGGGAGCAGACCCACTTGGAGTGAGCTGGAGCAGTTGCAGCATGATGTGAGTCAAGGCTGGGACATCCCTCTGCTCTGGTAGCTTTGCCCAGGCAGGTGGCAGGGGAAGCAGATGGCAGATTTTCCCTAGAAAGCTCCCTCCTGTCTTGGCTCTGCCAGAAGCAGTCAGTCCAGATGAGAGTCTGGTCTGGTAGAGCAGCAGGACACTGGTACAAGCTTCTGTCCCTGCATGTGGCTTTTCCCTTCCTTTTTGCCTCTTTTCTATTCAGTGGATCTTGACACAAAGCAACAGAGCTCTGAACATGGAGGTGATTTGCAGGAGTTAAAAAAAATAAGTATGTGCCAAACCTGTTTCCTGGCCCACTGTGCCTCCCATTCTGCATCTTCCTGGATGGCTTGGGCCAAATGTTGTCATCTTTGTAGAGGGATTGCACATCCAGGGCAACACTAATCCTCCACAGCTGCTGTCTAATGTGGGGCAGGCTGTGCTGGAGGCAAGGGAAATGGTTATTTTGAGTTTTGTCACTGGCCACTGCCCAGGAAAAATGAGTGACTGTAATGGGGACTTGGGCCACTTCTGCATGTGAGCAGAGCTGATCGTACTGCCCTGCTGTGCCTGCCAGAGAGGGGTAAGGGCTTCCCCTGTAGGCTGCAAGTTGGGACCGCCCAAGCAAGATTTTAGGAGAATGAGGAAATGTCTGTGCACCCCGAGAGCTGCTCTGGGATGTGATGAGGGAAGTCTCGGAGACACTAGACGGGAGAAGATGATGGATGATAAGTTATGCTGAAGCAGACCAGCAGCCTCTGTGCTCCACCATCACCTTGCATGTTGCTGCTGCAGCCCAGAAATTACTTTCCTCCCCAGAAGACAAAGGGTCCAGCACTCGAGGGAGTGTGGCTGGTGGGTGCAGGGTGGGTGTGAGGGGGATGATCAGCAGGCACGTACCGCGCTCCGTGTGCTGGTGGCTGTGCTGGCACCCCTGCCCCGGCAGCACCTCACGGCTCAGCCCTGCCTGCAGCGAGCTCAGGCAGCAGGTTCAGCCCCTCCCAGGGCCCCGCTGCTCTTCCCCCCCATCCTCAGCGGCGTTTCCTCCGGCCTTGAGCTCAGCCGCTCGCTGTATTCCGGCCCCAGCTCTTCCTCTGCGCCCAGCCCGGCTTCCTCCTTCCTTTCCGGGTTCCTCTCCTCAGCAGCTCAGAGGGGATCGTGCCCCGGCTTGCAAAGGAAGAGGAGGCCAGAGGAAGCGCAGTTTCTCCCATGATGGTTCCAAGCAGGCAGAGAGCTGCTGCCAGCCCTGGTCACCCCATCAGCCGGGCTCACGGAGCCCTGTCCCACAGCTCCACCCGGCACAGCGGGGCCTGCGGGTCGCTGAGCTCCCAGGGTCTTTTCCAGGTCGGGCTTCCAGTTTGGGAAGCTGGGAGTTGTCTGCTGGGGGGTGGATCCTGGCAGGGCTGCTTGGTGCCTGCACTTAAGCCTCCCCTGAGCCACCAAAATCCCAATCCCCTGGGACATGTGCACCTTGTCCTCCTCGGAGCGGCCGGAGCCGAGGCCACCCTGCTGCGGGCACGCAGGGCAGAGCAGCAGCCTCCGCAGAGCCCGGGCCCGGCCGCAGTGCTGGGCTTTGTCTCCGGCAGGGTCCCTCGCTGCTGTCCATGAGCGTTTCCAGATGGCCCCGGGCTTCTGGCCCCGACTCCGCGGCAGCATCCGGGGAAGGGGGGGGGGGGTGGGAAGCCATGGCCCAGGTCGCCCAACCCAGCCAGTCTGGGCCTTTGCTTCCAGTGCCTCCAATTGCCCCTGGGGAGCGGCTCCCTGATCCTCGCCCTAACTCAGCAGGGACCCCCTGCCCCGCCCTGGGAAGGGCATGTGGCTGGCAGCTAGCCCTGGGCACCCTCAGCTGGCTCAGGAGGCTTTCCCTGTGACCAGGCATCTCTCTGGGTTACTAGGCTTCAGGGTCCTCACCCCTGCATCCCACTGAGCCCTCAGCACCCCCGGGAGAGAGAGGGGAAATGCAGCTGCCGTGGGAAATAAATCTCTTGTCGGAAATGCATCTGCCATGGGAAATGCATCTGCGCCTGCTTCTGGAGCTGCTTTGCGGGGGTGGAGAGCAGCAAATCCCAGCCCCATGTTCCTCCTGTCTCACCTCTTGGCCAAGTTCATGCCTTTTGGTCACTGCCAGTGCCACTCTGGCTCAAGTTTGCGTCAGGCTGGGGTGCTAGGCTGCCCTACAGCACGACTCACAGTTCAGCAGAGCCCTGGGAGGGTCCATACAAGCAAAACTCTGGGCAAATGAGCCAAAAGCTATTTGAAAGGAGTTGGAAGTCAAGGAACGTGACCCAGCACAGCCTTGCCAATGGAATACAACAGCCCAGAGCCACTTGGAGACCTCTCCTGCCCCAGTTCCTCAGGGTTTTCCTGTGCCTGATTTTGCCTTCTCACACAGCTGCAGTGATGTGCTGGGGTTGAGCCAAGTGTGTTTCCTGGGAAATAAGCTAATAGCTGGGAATCGCTGCCCAGGGTGGGCAGGGATCGAGGCTGGAGCAGGGGACAGGTGACCCAGACCATGGGTGTCCCTGCCCAGTGCCAGAGCCCCTAGCAAGAATGGACAGAGCCAGCATGGGGCCTACCCTTTGGAAGTCATGAGCAGCTGACAAGTGGTGAGGATGGTGAAGGCGGCACAAAGGCTTCAATCCTACCCATGAAGGGGGGATGAGGGCTAGCATGGTGGGGGATGGGGGCAGGGAAAGCCAGAGACCCAGAGGCAGCAGAGGGGGGGGCAAGTCAGGGGTGGGTTAATGCACAGCTGGGTGCTCCGAATCTGGGTGCTTCGAATCCAGTGCCATAGGGAGAATTCACCCCCCACTGGGGTAATCCCCAGAGGGATAGGTCAGACCCACATCCTTCCCTGCCAGAGCCTGCCTCTCCACCAGTGTATTAACTGTACCAGCCTCTGTCATCCATCCCATGGCTGCCCCTGCAGCTCTGGAACCCCAGCTCACCACCCTGCTGAGCAGCACCAGCAAAGGGACCTGCTACCATCCCCATAGACCAGCTCTGGCACCCACTGTGCCTTGGTTTTCCTTCCTATTTAAAGGCTGAGCAACGTTTTTCCCTGGTTAAAGCAATTTCCCACACCCCTGTGAGTTTAATCTTTCCCACTCCCACGATTATTTCCTTGATCTCTACAGCAGTCCTGACTCCTGCTTTCCTCTGCTGAGACCACAATGGTGGGACAGGATACAGCCACCCTCTTCTCCCCAGGAAACACGTGTGGACAGTGAGCTGAAGCACCTGGTCAACCTGCTCCAGGAGGGCTCCTGTACCATCTCCCAGCCACACCGAGGCTGGGAGCAAAGGGGTTGCCCCAAGTCTGAGGAGATGGTGGCTGCCCAGGGGCTGGTTGGAGTGGGAGGCCAGTGCTGGCTGGGGAGAACAAGGCACCCTGTGTTCCCAGCCAGGCCACGGCCACGGGACCTGGTGAATGGCAGCTCTGTCTGCTGCTCGGGGAGGTGGTAGGGCAGCTTTCACTGACTGCACCCCAAAAATGGTAGCCCTCAGGCAGGGGTTGCTGTGGGGACACACCAAGCCATGCTGGCCCATTCCTCACATCTCCCAGCATGGCCCCCAGCCCCCGTGGGTGCCAGGTGGGGTGGCACCCCCAGGCATGTCCCTGCTACGACAAAAATCTCCCAAATGTGGCAGGGGGGTGGCCCCAAGCAGGAAGGACACACCATGGCTCCACACACCCAACCCTTTAATATGCATACAAGGCTGCGGTGCCTACTGCCCTGCCCGCGGGGCTGCGCGTCCCCTCAGCAGTGATGGGGTCAGAGCTAAGCTGAGCCCACCAGGGATGGCAAAGGCGGCACCTTCCCCCTCGCAGCTTTAGGCACCACCTCCCTGTAATCCCCACGGTCCAACACGGTGAAACAGGGCTGGGAGCTCCGCCCTCCATGCCCCTAATGCTTCCCTGCTCCTGGAGGTGGCAGCAGCTGAGACCTGCCAGCTTGTAGCACTTGTGACCAGCTCCCAACCCATCCCCCTCCTCCCACGGCATGGGGACAGCTCAGTGGGCTCACACAGGAGGAAGGAACCCTGCTGGGACCGTGCGGCAGAGGTGGGTGGAACATGATAGGTGGCAACCTGGGTGTGATAGCAAGAGGGGGACAGGTGCCAGGGAGCAGGCAGACCTGGGTGCACCCTCCAGCCCCCCTGTGACCATCCCCTAGGCCCAGCCCAGCTGCGCCAGAGGGGCTGGGGGGATGGGCATCTCCCATTTTCTGAGGCTAGAGCCATCAAGCAACAGTGGGGCACAAAGAGCCGAAGGTGTGGGGAGGGATGGGGGAAGGTCAGGTCCATCGTTAGCACCATGGTGGCAGGGGATGGGCAGGAAGCCGGTCAGACCCACTCCTGCAAGGAGCGCTTGCAGTACAGGAGCATCCGGGGAGCGCCCTTCCGCTGCATCTGGACAATGACATAGATGAGGCCGAGGATGCAGAGCAGCAGCACCAGCAGCACCAGCAGCATGACCACGCTCATGGTGCGTGTGTACTCGTCGATCTGTACCACCACATCCACGTCCCCCCCCGGCTGGTGGCCGCCCTCGTTGTAATCCTCCTCATCTTCCTCTTCTTCCTCTTCCTCACCTTCAGCCCGCCCATCCCCTTCGGGGTTGAAAGGGGGTCGGTCCCCATCAGGCCAGTTGGGATGGGGGTCTGGGACCAGCTCCGTGTGACAGCCCATGAAGTCCCTTAGGATCGATTTGGGATAACCTGGCTCCGTCTTGAGCCGCTCATTGTCAAATTTCCAGTACTTTGTGCCTCTGTAGAAGTAGGTAGAGGCTGGGGAGGGAGAAGATGGAGGCAAGGGCTAAGTGGGCACCCCCAGAGTACCCCACAACCTAGACACCCCTGCAGGTACCCAGCACAGGTTTTGCTCCAGGACCAGTGAAACCCTTCAGAAAGCACTTCACCACTGACTCCCGGCCTCTATCCTGCATGGCCAGGCCACCAGAGGGGTGACCACAACCCCTCTGGTCCCCCAGCCCTCTTTTCCGTCTCTACTTACAGGCATCTGCGCTGAGGAAGGCACCTTTGGGTGAGGGAGGGATGCCCACCCAGACAGAGATGGGCTTCGGGTATCCGGGGTCCACTGAGCGGGTGTCTTCATTAAAGCGCCAGTATCTGGGGAAGGAATGATTAGCAGGTGAGAAGTGTGGAGGTCTGGGCTGCCCACCATGGCCAGCCCTGACAGCAGTCAAGAGACAGCAGAGCAGGAAGGAGGGCCCCAGAGCCACTCACCTGTCCCCACGGAAGAAGAAGGTGTGGCCTGTGGGTTCCCACCAGACAGCCATGTCGATGCTGTCGTAGGGGATGCCCTGCCCATAGGTGACCAGGGGCTGTGGGTACCCAGGCTCCAGGTTGGCTTCTCGAAAGAGCCAGTACCGGTCACCTGGAGGAGAGGAGATGGAGGAAGAGGTGAGGTGGCAGTGTCCAGTTGCTGTGGGAGGGACACGTGTGGATAGGGACATGGGTACAATGCCTGTGGCTACCCCAGCCCTTGGGGATCAGGTAGTGGCTTCAGCTGGGGAGGGGGATCAGGATGGGATGAAGCCAAGCAGCTCTCAGCAGCTTCAGGGGCACTGGGGTCTCCCATCCACCTTCCCCACTCACCTTTAAAGAAGACAAACCTCCCATCATGCCTCTCGTAGGCAGCATCGATGTCCCCAGGGAGGCCCCGCCAGAAGTGTCCAATGGGCATGGGGTAGTTGTCCAGCACCCGGTTGTGTCGGACCCTCCAGAACCAGCGGCCCTGGTGGGAAAAACTGTGTCGGCAGAGGACGAGGGGGACACTGGGACACAGCCCCAGTACCAGGCCTCCCACCAGGGGGCCTCCCACCTAGGGACACAACACATCGCAAGGATGTGTTCCATCCCAAGGGAAGGGGCAGGAGAGGCCTCAGCAGGTACCTTGAACACAAACATCTCGCCACGCAGCACTGCCACCGTGTCAAAGTTCCCGTCACAGATGTCAGGGCCATACTGGTCGGGACGGTCTGGGCTGCCGGGTTTGGGGGGCCGCTCCGGTTTCCCTGGGGGGGGCGGTTTAGGGGGTCTCTGGTCTGGCCTGCCAGGTCTCCGGGGTGTCACTGTGGGCAAAGGCTTGGTGGGCTGAGGGTGCCCATCTGCGGTACCTGGATCAGGTGATTAAAAGAAGGGAATGGGTGATGCAGACCAGCAGTGCCTGTGCCACAGTTTCCCCACACACATGCCCAGCATACTACCTCTGGGCTGATCCCCCACCCAGCTCCTCACCGTACAGCTGCTGGATGCCCTTGAGGTCATCCTCAGGCAGCTGGAAGTTCTCCGTGTCCATCCACTGGTAGAAGGGGGCCATGATAGCACTGGGGTTGCTGGAGTGCTCCAAGCCCAGTGAGTGTCCCAGCTCATGCACGGCCACCAAGAAAAGGTTGTTCCCTGCAGGGAAAGGCACGGTAAGTTGGACAGGGTGAATGACATAACACATGGAGCAGGTCCTTGGCCCCAACACCCTGCGATGAGGATGCTCTGGTGAAAGCTGCCTGCATGACCCATAGTGGAGCTGCTCTCCCTGTCACTCCTGCCCACCCCAGTGTGTTCTTCTGCCCTCAAACCCAGGGGCCTTCCAGGCTCATCTAGTTGCCATCACCACCCCCCTGGCCCTCAGCTCACCAGACACATCTGTGTTCTCCAGCGTCCAGGGCTCATCTGAGTCAAAGTGCGTGTCCCCCCCCATGCCAGGACCGGGAAAATAGGCGTGAGCCAAAAATCCCCCAATGCCATCGAACGGGGAGCTGTCTCCGTGGAAGCCAGAGGCGAAGAGCACCATGATGTCAGCTTCCTTCTTCCGCTTCTGCCGGATGTCCTCATAGGGCACCTCCCGGAAAACCAGCGGTGTGGCTTGCTCCCACACCTGGAAAGCTCGGCGGACAGCCTCATACGAGTGGTACCGGCCCAGCTTCTCCGTGTAGTTTTGGATGCTAGGGGTACAGAGCCTGCTGGGGGTGGCCCAGGACAGCACTCTATCCCCAAGGGGATCCATGGCTCCCCATGGGTTGGGGAGTGGGAAACCCTGGAAGTGTTGGGTACCTGAAAGTCAGATGGCTCTGGCTCCAGCGCCGTCCTGTCAGTGCATACCGCTTCCGCCGCATGTTAGACTTTGTCCGCGCCCCAAACTGGTCCGGGACCCCACAGCGGGGACGTTTCATCCACCTGCCAGGAAGGAATTGAGTCAGGCCTCAGCCCCCCGCCACCAAGGTCCTGAAGGGGCTGGCAGGCAAAGCCCAAGAGCCAGGGAGCTGCTAGAGCCAGAGGACAGGGAAAAACTCACGCCTTGGTCTCCTCATCCAGGACACCGGTGACGGGGATGCCATAAAACTTCTGCATCTCGGCGAGGGCTGCAGCAAAGGTCTGTGCCGAGCGCATGGTGGAGAGCTGGCGGCTGGGCTGCGGCAGGTACCCATAGAGCCGCAGCCAT